CCAGCCCTGTTGTTGTTTTATTTATTTTTTACGTTACTTTTTCTCTTCCCTTCCCCCATGGGCCATTATCTTGTTGATGTGCTTCTCCTTACTCCTATTCAAATTATGTACTTTTTATCAAATAAAAGTTAAAATCTCCCGGGGATGGGAGGTGGGTGTAATGTAAGTGGTAGTGTCAAAAATAGAATGTCAGCTCAGCAGCAGCATTGTATCCCACTCAGTACGGGTTGACCAGAACATTATCTGCTATGAATGTAATGAGTATTCTGTTTTCTGTTTACTTGCGTTGGCTTTGTGTGTGGTTTGTCTTACACTTTTATGGTCGCCGTTCGAATCCCATACACATTCCTCTACGGTTATGTCGTGATCGGAGTCAATCTGTCTCTCTTTACCTCGTTCTAAGTTACAGTATTTTCGTCGATGTGTATCTCTTGTAGTAGTCAAAGTAACTATCAACTGCCTTAGTTAAGACACAGACTGTCTTGATATGTTGATTTTTTTCCCCTTCGAAATTGGAATCCCTGTGACGATATACTCCTATTATAGTCACTCTTTTCACCTCGTTCCAAGTTATAGTTATTGTGCTGATATTCTTTTTTTTAATAAATAGCCAAAGTAGGTACAAATCAGCAGCCTCAGACAACACCCTGATACCCTTTCTCCTTCTTTCCTATCAAACATGTACCGTAATGTCCTTATCTCTCCTCCTTTTCTTTTTTTTTATATTACTCTGTAGTAACACCCCTAATCGTCGACACGTGTATGATCTCCTCGTGCTGTGAGCATCATAAAACTCTAACTAAAACTGACCCCAAAAAAACTCTTTTGTGTCTCCCCTCCCCTCAGGCTATCACTGGGACACGTCCGACTGGGCGCCCGGCCCCTCCATGCCCAACATCTCCGAGATCCCCACAAACGAGATCCTCGACTCGCCCTCTTCCTCACAGCCCAGCGACGACTGCAACGCCAACGCCTGTAACTACGAGGACAACATGACCACCCAGGCCATCTACAACAACAGCCGCGACGACAGCCCGCTGCTCAGCTCCGACGAGCAGCGGAGAAACAACATCGACAGCAACTTCGAGGATGAGGACGACGACGGGAACGTCATCTCCAACCTCGTCATGGACGACCAGGATTATTTCGAGGATTCCGAGTACGTCGGAGACTCCGAGTACGCGGAGAACGAACAAGACGACCTTCCACCAAGCTACGCCGACCACCCAAAGTACGAACAGTTGTTGCAGGAGTACAATGACAATTACGAACTACCGGTGAACTTACAGGTTCACCCGAACCATTATCTTCCCAACCACTTCTCTGGTCAAGATCTGGACATGGACCCTCTCACGGAAGATGAGAACGCCGGGGACAGGCCTGAAGAAGGTGCCGTGGGGCTTGACCACGACTGCCCACCACTCCGCCCTCCCAAAGAGTTCATGACCCCTGGCTACCCGACAGACGGCTACCTCACTGACCAGGAACCCCCCTCTAGAATGTCCTTCATCGATGACATGAGCATGTCTGTGGGGTTCACCTCGAACGCGTCGTGCTCGGACATTTCAGGACTGTGTGAGATCGAGGACAGTGAGATCAACGCGAGTGACACGGACGATGAGAACACACCTCTCAACCTAGGAGAGCTGCAGACACGTGTGTAGCCATGCCAAGTGTGTGTGTGTGTGTGTGTGTGTGTGTGTGTGTGAGAGAGAGAGAGAGAGAGAGAGAGAGAGAGAGAGAGAGGTTGAGTGTGAGTGTCCGTGTGTGTGTGTGTGTGTGTTTGTGTGTGTGTGTGTGTGTGCACGTGTGTAGTTGAAAACATGTAGTTATGCTTGTGTGTGCATTCTTAGGGTGTGTCTGTTGGAAGCTGAATGTGTGGTTAAAGTTCAGTTCCAAGAGATGTTTTTGTTTGAGGTTGAATGTGTGTGTGGGTACAAAATTACACAAGTTTACATTCTCTGGGGTGTTCGTCATGTGTGTTTGAGTGTGCAGAAGTATCTTCATGATGAGTGTGAAAAAATTTACTACTATGTATGAGTTCATATGCGTGTGTTTGCTGGAGTTTCTTATTGTGAGAGAATAAATTCATATTAAGTTGATACTAAAATAAGAGTATCTGTTCATGAGACAAAGCTGTATAATTATAATATGTTTGTCTGTTTTGGTATATATTTGTGCTGTGTGAGGCACTGATGGACCGTGAAGGGAATGACTGGCTTGATTATGAAAGTATTAATAAGGTAATGTGTGATAGAGTGCTGAGATAGGTGTTTGAGAGACTAGAATACAGCTCCTGTCTGGCGCTTCCATGACTTGTGACATACATAGCTGTTTTTCTACTGAATTTATTGACTGTCAAAATGCCATAGATATCACAGAGAAACATTTCACAAACAGATTTGTGGGAGACTGACTTGAATGGAACAGATGTTGATGATTGGGGAAAGTGTGGAAGGAAGAAAGTGTATGCAGAAGGTGTGATGGACAGTAAGAACAGAGGGAGCTATACGGTCAGAACAGCGAGTCAAAAATCTTGGTAAACATGTATTGATTTCCCAAATAACAATTGCTTTTTGTTGTTTCTCACATTATTATCTGATTACATCAAATTTTTTTAACCTGTGTAAGTTTCTACAATTGGTGATGTGTTATTTTTGCTAATTGTAAGTCAAGTGCTCTGTGTCTGTCAATGTTACATTGGTCAGATGTTATTTTGTCTAATTTGATGGATATGTATTTCATACCAAAGACTTGATGTAGAAATGTCAAAAGATTATCGGTTCGCTTGAAAGTAAATGAATGCTGATTTTGGATTGCAGATGCTTTAGGTATAGCGTACATTTGAAAGATAAACTGTCGTGCTTTCCAAAAAGTGTTGCAGATTGTGTTTTCTTTCTTCTTTCCATCGTCTCTCAGGAAAATTGTTGAATAAACATTGTTAAACATAAAGAAGACACTGATAGTAAACCCCTGTAGTTTGCTTTTTAGTAATTTTCATACAAAATTCGGAACTCTTGTGTCTTGTCAGAAGGCCGGGTATTTTTTACATTCTGAGCACAGTGTAAAGGTCGAGTAACATAAAGCACTTTTGAAAGTAACAAACTTTCTTGTCTCTGGAATGGTGCTGTGTCCTTGACTATCAATGTCTGAGTGGTGTGCTGGGATTGAAGTAGCTACAACATTTGTCCTGAGTCTCTGTGGTTGTGAAGGTAAGACAGCTTGAAGAAATGTTGCTTGCAACTACAAAATGTGAGTCATTGACACGCTATATAGAATCGAGAAAACTGGAAGAAAGTGTTGCTAGTAATTTTTAAATGTGAGTCATTGATCTGCTATTGTGTTGTTGTGGAGTCTGCCATTCAATTTTTCCACTTTGCGTCACCCTGAGTTTTATTCATTGTCTGTGCCAAGGCTGCTTGTGAATACTTGAAGGGAGACTGAGAAACAGACTTTTATCCCACATCTACAAGATAGTGCAGAAGCTTTCAGCTTAATGAGAAATGGAAATCCTGATGAGAGGTAGAAAATAAAGTTGGTTAAACTTTTCTTAAGTGAGAATGACGAGGTTTATAGAGATAATGTCATGTTTAAAGCTAGCAAGGGGGGTATTCGCTACAGTTTGTTTTTGCTTTTTTTGTGTGTGTGTTTTTTCATCTTCCATGTAAGTATAAACTTTGCGCTAGTTTCTTTGATATTTTGTTTGATTCTAGAAGATGAAATTTCTTTTTGTCTTGTAAATGAGAATTTTATTAAAGGATTTTGATACAGAAATGGTGGGGGTGGGTGGGGGTTCTGTGAAAGAGTGAAATGATATATGCTATGTTTGAAAGGGTATAATTGCTATATTTACGAGAAAATAATGGTTTGTATATATATTGTATATTTTGTAAGAGAATATATAATTCTGTAGAATTTTGTCTTAATTGCTTTTTTGAGGACAAAATTGTATGTGACTGCTGAATTGTCAGTCCTTAGCATTAAATATGACAAAAATTGTGGCTTTTATTCATTAAAAAATTATGCGGATCTTTGTGCCATGTGGTTCTTGTGAATATAATGTTATTTCTTTTTTTGTGTGTCTTTTGTCTTTTTGATTTATGTTCCCATTTGTAAATCTCTTTCTCTGTTTTCTGTATATCAGAGCACTGGTAAACCAAGAAAGCACAAAATATTATTTTAATTCTGGAGGTGTTTCTTCTTGTGATAGTACTCAAGAAAAGAGGCTCAAAAATTATGTAGCATAACTGTTGGCTGAGAATTGCATTCAAGAAACATGTCATATTACATTAAAGTCTGTCACTGAATTTGAATGAATTCTGAGGGACAACTGATTTGAGTCGTGGCCATACGTTTTCCACAGCTTAGAAATATAAGCTTGTCTTGTGACATGTGTAGCCTACCAGTGGATGTTACTTTGCACAGACAACCTGAGTATAGTGGGTATTAAGAATCATATCAGTGTGCCAATAGGTTTTCCAGACTGCCAATGTCAGCATGGTTTGCATTTAAGCACACTGGTATAGAGCAAGTTGGAATACTTATGGATTTTGTTTTACCATACTTCTCCCCCCCCCCCCCCCCCCCCCCAAGTCCTCTTTTTCTGCAACTCTCTCTGGTGAAAGCAGCTTTTAACGGGAAGGAGGAAATTGTGAATTGGCTGTAGGATTGTCTGTTTGTCTTGTATCATTATAATATAAATAGTTCTATGAAAAAGTCAAATTGGCTGATAGTATTGATAATAAGAACCTATTGTCTAAACTGATTGTCAAAGCTTTCAAAAAATGTATTTCCTTTTGCGCAAAGATCTTATTATAAATCTAGATTTAAGGGAGACTTTACACCAAAGTTTGCTTATTTTTCTACACTCCGCTGTTTTAAATATGTATGTGCTGGGGTAGGGATATTGGTTTTCGAAGGTCTGATTGTGATCTAATTTTTTTCTCCTTTTTTTTTACTGTTAGAAAATAGTTGTGAATGTGAAGTTGACCAGTGGCTGAGCCAAGAAATTGTAAAACTTTTTCAGGACGTCAAAATAACCAGTACATTCCTTGTCCTGTCAACTTGGCATTTATGTTGTGGGAACCTCTCTCTCTCTCTCTGTGTCTCTCTCTCTTCTCTCTCTCTCTCTCTCTCTCTCTCTCTCTCTCTCTCTCTCTCTCTCTCTGGAATGGGGATAAGCCTATCTATGAAATAAGACAAATGTCAAACACATGGCCTGAAGATTGAAAATTGTATAATTGAAGAAAACGTTTGGGCTTTGTGAAAGTTATTCCTCTATGGGTGCTAGGCATATGTTAGTATTGTTATTTGTAGATTTCTTGACCTTGCTGTTGCTCTGTAGTGAGAGGAAGGTGTTTTGAATAGTTAAATTTTCATCTGGAAGTTCTCAAATTTGATGACATGTGCCCTCCAAGTACCTTTTTAGAAACACAGAAATCTATCCCATGTGTCATGAACTAGAGAGACGTACTTGTGTTTGTGAGGTTTTTGTTCCCTGACTGCAATTGTTGACAATATGGTATCTCCACACTGCAAATGAATACAGTGATTCAGATATACAGATATAGGAAGGGCCTTGTGATAAAATGCGTTATATCCAACAATGGAAAGTGAAGAAAAGGCTGTTTATTTGATTTATGATCCCAAGCTATGCTGACCAGAAAACACTGCTGGACCCAGAACGAAATCATGAGTTGCAGCTTTGTTTGGGGCCAGATATTTTGAAACTGTAAACATTATAAATGCTGCAAGCTATTTAAAGGAAATAAGTAGAAGTTCAAATATTTGATATAACTTGTTTTGTCACAAAACCTTTCGTATGAATATATATATATATATATTTAGTATGTCTCCACACTTGTCACATCCCCAGGAGAAGTTGCTTCTTTTGTTTTGCTTTTTGTATTGATTAATTGTGTGTTCGTTTGTTTGTTTTTTCATTTCTGTTTTCTTTTATCACTGGGTATTTTTTTTAACCTGCAGCCCCAAATTATTGTACAAGTCCTGCTTGATTGTTCAGCGTCCATATTGCCCCGTGCTCTGAGGTTGTGCTTCACTTTATTTGGTTGTGTTGTCTTTTGCGTTTGGATTACTGTCTTTCAGCTTAGCTTACCCTTACAGTAGTGCTCCAGTGTACCCGTGAAATGCTAATTTTCAGATTTGAAAGCGATTTTCTGTAGCGGCGATTATGTTGATGTTTATTTCAGTAGCACTAGCTACGTAAAGGCATTTTAGTACCCTGAATGGTCGTTAGTTGATTGTGTTTTCAGAAATCGGTTACCACGGAAGAATTTTTGTTAAGTTTATGCATGCTTGGAAACTCCATCCCTGATGATTCTAATTAAGTCCTTTCCGTGATTTGTAACTTCTCATGAAAAACCTGGACCAAATAAATTCATTTTCTTTTTATTCTTCGCAGACACTGAGAAGAACTAACTTTGATTATTTTGTCATCCGCCATTGAAGAAAATTTTTTCAGATGTTTTCCCTGTAAAATTTCTGTTCTTTTGTTTGTTTTGATCATTAATATTCTAAAGTTGTTTTCTTTTGTGTGTAGACTGTACTGTCTTCCTTTCATTGATCAGCAGTTTATTTCATTAAGAACTCAAGCGTCTATTTTATGAGAGAAGCTAGGAATGGGGATTTGATTCTAATCACTTTTCCGAGAATAGCGTCTATTAGTTTGTTGTATGGCTCTCTCATGTTTCATTTTGTCTGTGTAGTACAGTGATTATCCCCCTCCCTTCCCAACCTCTCACCCATCCC